CGAGATCGATAAACATGGCGGAGTGTCAAGCGGAATTAACGGGGGGAAGAATTTAGCGACGGAAGTAGGACAAGAAGGAGTGTCGGGGAGACAAGTTGTCTCGGCCAGAGAGCGTGCGGAGGAACCGGAAACGATTCCGAGCCCGGAGATGATTCTCCGTATGACAATGGAGGAACTTCGCCTTCTTAGAGACGAACGTGCGGAATGGCGACGCGAAGCGGAAGAGCAGGGAAGATCAGTGCGGCAGTCCGAGGAGTATGAACTACCCATACCAGGCCAGTCGAATCCAATTTTTAATCTCGATTTCGCTTTTAAATTAAAATCCAATATATATGACGGAAGTGTTCCTTTGCGAGAATTTTATCCCAGTTTGAATTAATCGCTCGGGCAAATAGATAAAGAAATTCGAAGAAAGTGTTGGCTTCTTGTTTAAGAGGCGCCTTCAATTTTAGAGAGAGGAACAGAATTGGAAAATTCATAATATAGAAAATTAATTTCAAGATTAGAGTTACATTTGAAGAAAAAATTTCGGCACAAAAGCATTTGTCTCATTTAGCCTCTCCAGAATGCTCACCTGGCTTACAGGATAAAATTGCTCGCAGCTTATTGTCGCGATGGCGGACGATTTTATTAAACAGAGCTTGCAAATGGAGGGACTCACAGCTTTAAGGGTCGCCGTGGAAAGAGTCATGGCCGTAAAAATTATTAAAGAAAATAGTTTTCCTAAATTTCAGGAAAGGGACCGAAAAGGAAAAATTAATTTAAAAGATGGACGCGAACGGAACTTTTTGAACGTAGGAGAAATTAACGCGCATGATTACAAGCAAAATCGTGAGAAATTTAATAATTTTAAAGAAAAACAAAAGGAAACTTTCGGTTTTACTTTCGGTTTTAAAGAAAGAGCCAATGAATGCTGGCAATGTGGAGAGGATACTTTCGATCAGAATGTCTTTCATTGATTAATTCAAGAAAGGAAAATTTGGGCTCGCCGAGCTTTGCAGCAGTGTAACGAAAGGCTCGGCGCGAAAATGT